AAGTAAATGTTTATTTTCACCAGTTAAAAGTTCTTGTCCCACGTTTTGACCTATACATTTTTTTTAGGAAAAAACCTCACCTTTATGATAAAAATTTTTTTTTAAAAATAAAAACTGTCCATTTGATGAAAAAATGAAATTTTATTTTTTAATTTAATTTTTCAAGGTCAAACATTTTTTTTCTCTACATTTGTTTACACCGTTAGAAAGTGTTGAAAAACAGCAGAAAAACCCAAAATAGAAAACGTATTTTCGTTTTGTTTTAAAGAAACTACAAATTTTTCAAATATTCCATGTTAGACCAAAAATTTAAACTTTGACCCCCTCCAGTTTTTATATTTGTTTAAATAAATTAATAATATTTGGTATTTTTAATTGTATCTAATAGGACTACTGTTTTTGCAAAATTTTTACCCGATCCCAAACATTTAAAATTTTGACCTGGGTCACTTAACGTGGAACCCGTCATTTATTTAATGAGGCATTTCACGTCAGAAATATCACGATTTGCAAAGGGTATGCCGATTTTCGCAAAAGTTTGTGGGATTATAGTTCTATATAAGAGACTTCTTTCCCCCAAATTTTTTCAAAAAAAATTCAAAATTGTTGAAGATACGCCATTTTGAATTTTAATATTAATTTTATAAAATTTTGAATATCTCGGAATATTGTTTATGGATTTTTATGAAATTTACACATTTTTCAGGTAAAAGTATGTACTTTAAAATGCAAATAAAGTTAATAAAAAAAAATTAATTTTTAAATAAAAAATTAAAAAAAAATTTTTTTAAACAATTTTTTGTTTATTTACTCCTCTCTGAGAAAAATGTTATTAACATATTTGGATTCCTTATGAATTCACCTTTAATTTCATAAAAAAAATTGATGGAGACTCAACTGGTTCCGGAGATATTGAATTTTTTGTAAAAAAAAGCGTCGCCGCGCCATAGCACCATACTGCACAAGTCGCGTAGTACGTTACCGCAGTCGTGCATTGCTGCTGTAACTATGACTATTTTTTACAAAAAATTCAATATCTCCGGAACCAGTTGAGTCTCCATTAATTTTTTTTTATGAAATTAAAGGTGAATTCATAAGGAATCCAAATATGTTAATAACATTTTTCTCAGAGAGGAGTAAATAAACAAAGAATTGTTTAAAAAAATTTTTTTTTAATTTTTTTATTTAAAAATTAATTTTTTTTTATTAACTTTATTTGCATTTTAAAGTACATACTTTTACCTGAAAAATGTGTAAATTTCATAAAAATCCATAAACAATATTCCGAGATATTCAAAATTTTATAAAATTAATATTAAAATTCAAAATGGCGTATCTTCAACAATTTTGAATTTTTTTTGAAAAAATTTGGGGGAAAGAAGTCTCTTATATAGAACTATAATCCCACAAACTTTTGCGAAAATCGGCATACCCTTTGCAAATCGTGATATTTCTGACGTGAAATGCCTCTAATGTGTTATTTATTGTAGGTATTATTATAAATTGAACACATTTTCTTTCAAGTTAATATTATTATTTATTAAAAATTATTTATTTAATTGCACAATAATAAAGTTGGATTTTTATAAATATAATGAAAAATTTAGTTTCTTATATTCTTCCTTTGCATCAATACAATTAATTTATTTATTGGTTAAATAATAATAATAATAATAATAATAATATTATTATTATAATAAATGCAATTAGTTATTGTAATAATTAATTAGCTATGATATATATAATAAAATAAATTTATGATTATACTGATAATGTGAACTATAACAATAAATGACGAGATCCGCAGTCGGATCCGCCCCAGCACCGAGCCAGTACAGACCTAACATCCGTCATTCTTCCGACGCCCGTAGAAGAATGAAATCCGCAGGCGGAACAAATCCAGTACCACGCCAGTACTGACGAAAGTAGAAAGACGGATCCAAAATTCTGAGCCTAATCTGTTCCGCGCCGGTTGAATTTTGGGATCCGAATCGGTACAAAACATCGGTACTGGCGGTCCGCACGGGCGCGGATCCCAGGCGGTTGTAAACTCCGACATTCGTCCGCCCAGGCGGAAATTTCCAACCGGCGCGGATCCTAGCCCGTACTGACGCCGGTGTAACTGTACTGGCTCGGAATCGCCTTCCAACCGAATGTGAACGGGCATTCTACCGAATAGTGACTAGGCCAGGAGCGCGCTGGCAACCGGCTCGGAACTGGCATTCTACCGCCCGCTGACCGGCCGGGAGAAGCCGTTCCGTGTATAATTCAACCGGCTGGGATCTGGCACTCTACCGACCGCGGATTTTTCATTTAATAGCCAGCTGAGCGCTGGCATTCTACCGACTGACAACCGGGTCGGATCCAAATGATAATTTCAACAAATATCAATAAAAAAAATAATAATTAATTGCAAAAGATAAATACTAATGACAATTCATTGGCAGTTCACTTTACACATTTTTTAAATTTTTTTATATACTTAAACGTAATTTTTTATTACATACACATTTGAAAAATCCTTACGCTTGGGGGGTACGAACCTACGCCTAACCGAATATTTACGCACCGAAATCTCGCACGCTAACCACTATTCTACGCTCGCATGGGACTCTCAAATCTTAAATACTCTCAAGTGTCACAAGCTGAAATAAAACTTGTAGAATTACTACGCGTCAATGATACCGCTATATTTTCAATACTTTATTGAATGTATATTTAGGACTATTTCAATATTTCGTTAAAAAAGAAACTTGTTATATTTTTATTATTATATAATACATATATTGAATAATTGTTTTTCAATATAATAATATTGAACGTAATAATATTAATAATTTTAATTAATATCTCAATAATAATAAATTTATTATTATTAAGATATTATTAACCACTTCACTGGCGGGGCGTTCCAAATGGCGTTCCACGCGCCGAGGCCCAGACTGGCAAAAACACCGAAATGGCGTTCCTAATAAAACATTATTTTTAAAGAGTGTACACTACTTTTAACTTATACAAAGCAATATTTCTATAGTTTAGACATCATGGAACAAGATTATCACAATAAAAATTTCAGTTTTTGGGATTTTCAATGTTTTTTCAAACAATGAAATAGTCAATTTTTACCACTTTTCACCAAATGGCGTTCCACTTTTTTTCAATTTTTACACAGTAAAACTCATATTTTTTATTTAAAAAATATATTTACATACAAAACATTATAATATAATAATGTAATAAGTAAAAAATAAATATAAATAATTAATAAATAAAATTTAATAATTATTAATAATAACAAAAGTGGAACGCCATTTGTTAAAAAGTGTTAAAAATCGACTATTTCAACGTTCAAAGAAACATTGAAAATCTCAAAAACTGAAATTTTCATTGTGATAATCTTGTTCCCTGATGTCTAAACTATAGAAATATTGCTTTGTAGTAGTAAAAAGTAGTGTACACTCTTTAAAAATAAAGTTTTATTAGGAACGCCATTTCGGTGTTTTTGCCAGTCTGGGCCTCGGCGCGTGGAACGCCATTTGGAACGCCCCGCCAGTGAAGTGGTTAATTAATTTTATATATTATTAATTAACATTAATATTATTGAGAATTAATAATAAATTATCAATATTAATATTAATTAATAATATATAATATTAATTAATAACGAATTTTTCTAATTATTTAATTTTTAAAAAAGTCTCAATAAATAATTACTTAATATATTGATTAGATTCATTTATTAATAATTATTTTCTGAAATAATGCAATTACTTGTAATAATTATTTAATTTATAATGTGACAATAAATGACGAGATCCGCAGTCGGATCCACCCCAGTACCGAGCCAGTACAGACTCAACATATCCGTCATTCTTCCGACGCCGCAGAAGAATAAGATCCGCCGGCGGCAGAAATCCAGTACCGAGCCAGTACTGACAATAGTGGGAAGACGGTTCCGACAGTCGGAGCATAATCTGTACCGCGCCGGTTGCTTTTTCAGATCCGAATCGGTACAGACCGTCGGTACTTGCGGTCTGTACGGGCGCGGATCCCAGCCGGTTGTAAACTCCGACGTTCGTCCGACTTTTCCGCCTGGGCGACTTTTCCTCCTGGGTATATATGCGTCCCAAGTAAAACCAAAAAAGCATTTACCTTTGCACTCTATCCTATTACCTATTACACTCTAAGACTGCCAGCATAGCTGGTGTGTTTAAAATTTTTTTGCTTAAATGAAAACGGCAGCCTTTTATATTATTGGAATTTACATAAAAAATAGTTGTCTGTTAAGGCGCGTATCCACTAGACGAACCGAACACGAGCGCAACACGAATGACCGATATTTTCCTATTGTGTGTTCGGTTCGGCCCATGCTCCAAGTCGATCCACCAAATTTTCCCTGCAAAGTCGCATGGTTTAAACGTTCGACTAGCCACAAGAAAATATGTACTACCTACATGTGTAGTTATTTTGAAGCATTCGCCACTATTTTTAAGTACATGTAGAAAAAAGGGTAGAAAAAAATTTGGGACCGTTCGGTTCGTGCTCGCAGCCGATCCATCCGTTGTCGGTTTATGACAATACCTCAAAGCAACAATAAAAGTGTGTTCCCAGTTTTCTATTTGCGAGTCCACTAGTAAACCTAAATTTCCCATAAACAGGAGCTAAGCGCCCCTCGCTGCGAGAGATGCTCGGGACTCATTGTCAGTTCGGAATTGCTATAGGCTGTTGTATGCGGTGTACAGCATGGAACCGCTTTACACCAGGGAGATTGGGAACCGAATAAGCGCGCGTATTCGGCTCCAATTCTCCCAGAAGTAATGCGGCTCATGGTGAGGAAAAGCTACTTCCCATCACGGGACTATCTCTCTATCCAGACATTTGATTAAGTTAATTTTCTTTTTCCAATGACAAAAAATAATAATATTTATAATAGAAACATTTATATAAATAAATACAATAATTTATTATTGGAAAAATCAAGAAATTAATTTGATTTTCAGTTATTGTGGAACCTATGCTAACGGGAGAAATGGCTGTCAATTATTTATGGAAAGCAGTTAATTCAGTTGTGGCTGAAGGTTTAAGCGAGGTAATGATTAAAAGAGATTTTAAAATATATGGGGCAAAATTTCTCAAGTGTACCAATGTCAAAATTGCAAGTTGTTGGATCGGGCTAATATTTTCATAGTATTTAGTACTATATGTATGAGTACTTCAACCACCAAGTATTTTGAAATTTTATAACGAATTGTAGAGGGGGGAGGGGGTTGAAGATCTTGGATAAGTATGAACAGTGAGTTTTATAAAAAATCGTAGCTTCTATATAATAAAGTAAAAAAAATTTTGACCTATATGTTTTTGGTAGGTTTTTTCACGCTCTTTCAAATGGTGAAAATTTTTTTTTAAAAAATTCAAAATTTAACCCTTTTTTTTGAAAATTAAAAAATTTTTTTTTCAAGAAGGACCCTTTTTTTCTCTTTTTTTGTACCAAAAGAAAGCTTAAGATGTGTACTTTCAATAACTAAAACGAAAAAAATGACGTTTTTTTTTGTTTTCGAATTATTAATTAATTAAGTAATAAAAATTAATAAAAATTGAAATATTTCACATCAAAATAAAGTTAACGCAATTCTGAAGTTACTACTGTAAAGCACTACAAAATCCGCATCCAACGAGTACAATATGAAGTATTTTGGATAAATTGACGTTTTATAAATAAATATTTATAAAAATTAATTAACAAATGAATATCATTTATTAAAATAAAGATAAAGTGTTAGTTTTTTTACACAAATGTTTATACAATTCTACTTTTAAAAAAATGTATTCCAGTTATTTGCAACAATTGCTTAAATAAAATATTCAACACCTAATGCGTGTGTTGCGCTGTATAACTATTTTCCCGGCTTAATATTATTTGACATTTTCTAAAGAATATATTTTATTTTTTACATTTTTGATGTAAGAAAAGATGATTTCTTTTTTACTCAAATAGTTTTTTATTATTTTAATATCAACAAGAAATTTTTACGTAATTCCTAATAAATTAATTACAAAATAATTTAATAATAATAAATAATATTAAAATAATAAAAAATTATTTATGTAAAAAAGAAATCATCTTTTCTTACATCAAAAATGTAAAAAATAAAATATATTCTTTAGAAAATGTCAAATAATATTAAGCCGGGAAAATAGTTATACAGCGCAACACTCGCATTAGGTGTTGAATATTTTATTTAAACAATTGTTGCAAATAACTGGAATACATTTATTTAAAAGTAGAATCGTATAAACATTTGTGTAAAAAAAACTAACACTTTATCTTTATTTTTATAAATGATATTCATTTGTTAATTAATTTTTATAAATATTTATTTATAAAACGTCAATTTATCCAAAATACTTCATATTGTACTCGTTGAATGCGGATTTTGTAGTGCTTTACAGTAGTAACTTCAGAATTGCGTTAACTTTATTTTGTTGTAAAATATTTCAATTTTTATTAATTTTTATTACTTAATTAATTAATAATTCGAAAACAAAAAAAAACGTCATTTTTTTCGTTTTAGTTATTGAAAGTACACATCTTAAGCTTTCTTTTGGTACAAAAAAAAGAGAAAAAAAGGGTCCTTCTTGAAAAAAAAATAAAAAAATTTTTTAATTTTCAAAAAAAAGGGTTAAATTTTGAATTTTTTTTAAAAAAAATTTCACCATTTGAAAGAGCGTGAAAAAACCTACCAAAAACATATAGGTCAAAATTTTTTTCACTTTATTATATAGAAGCTACGATTTTTTATAAAACTCACTGTTCATACTTATCCAAGATCTTCAACCCCCTCCCCTCTCTACAATTCGTTATAAAATTTCATAATACTTGGTGGTTGAAGTACTCATACATAGTACTAAATACTATGAAAATATTAGCCCGATCCAACAACTTGCAATTTTGACATTGGTACACTTGAGAAATTTTGCCCCATATGTAATTTACCTATATTTAAAAAATATTAAATTAGTTTTTTTAAATAGTGTTGCAAGCTGAAACCAGAAGATCCGATTTTATGGTTGGCAAATTGGCTCCTCATAAACAATCCTTATAAACCATAAATGTCTAAAGAGCTGTATTACGATAATTGCCACGTAATTAAAATTATGAGACAAATTTATAAAGTATTAATTTTTATTAAGAAATTAGTAAAAATAAAATAATTTTGATAAAAATGTAATGATTTTAATAAAAATAAGAAAGCAAAGAAAAATGTATGAAGAAAGAAAATTTATACTCTACCTGGATGATCAATTTTGAATGGAGTTTGAGAGGACAGAAGTCTTCTCGATCGCTTACAATGAGATGACGTTGGCGTATATCTAAAAATAAGTAAAAGACCATCATTTCTTCATTTCTTTTCTTAGCGATTATTATTAACTTTCTTATTACCTGGACTCCACCAATTCTTGAACAATAGACTTCAATTGATTATTTTTAAAATTTGTTTTTAATTTGCCGTTGATATTAGTAGGTCTTTCATTATTATTATCACAATAATCCTCAACTGTAATTATTATATTGTAGGGAAAATTTGGTTCAATATTGGTAATATTTTCTCTATTATCAACAACACTAATATCATTGAATTTAGGTGCCGTTGGATTAATAAATTTTTGACTTCTCTCACTGCTGTTTTCAAAGCGTACTCGTGATGATGTGTCTCTAGGTGTGATATTAAGATTTGCAAAGTCTTCAAATCCGATTGTACAATTGGTATCAATTTTTGTATTGTTATTGTCTTTTATTGCTGTATTTGGTTTAAAAGTTCCATCTGAAGAAAATAAGTCTTGACGCAGTCCAATAGTTGGTCTACAATAATGAAAAAATTTTAAGAATAGTTCTAAACTGTTAAATTGAAAGAATTCAAACTCAAAAAGAAAGAAAAAAGAGAGGATGAAGGAGTCCGAAAAACTATAAAAATACATTTAACGCAATAGTAACGAGCGGGGAGAGGGTCTAAAAAGAATGACAAATATGTAACATAGTTTATGGACGGCCCCTAAACTAAATATATTTTTCAAATGAAGTGTGGAGATAGATTATAAATGACAATGTAGATAAAAAATTATTAAAAAATTTGATGTTTTTTTTTAATAAAACGTGAGTTAAATCATTTCCAAATGACAAGAATGACGCTTAATTATTCTCTTTCATATAATGTGGTGGTACGTAATCGATGTTACAATTTGTATCTCAATTTGTCTCTCATTCGACCTACAAGTATAAAATAAACGTCGATCATAAACTTTTTAATTTTCCCTTTTTTAAAAAATATAAAAAAATAAATATTTTCTTTTTAAACTTCAACATATTCAGAAATTGTTTGATCATGAAGGAACTAAATATTTTTTTATAACTAAAAATTATTGGAAGAGTGGTTTTGATTTAAATACACATTTTTGTCATAGACAGAATTAATCCACAAATGGATTATTTTAATATTGTTTGATGTTACTTTAAGTTTCACCGCTATTTGATATCTCATACTTTACTGTGTATATGAACACTTTTAATTCTAAAATGTATAGTTAATTCAAAATTTAATTACTTCCAATAAATTATTTAACTACATAAATTATAATTTATGTAGTTTATAATTTTTCCATATAGAAAAATGATTTATTTGTTCAAAAAATTTTTTTAACTGCTTCTCTACTTTCTTCCTTTTATATTTAAATTTGAAATTTTGTATTTTTTCCCATTTTGTCATTTGTATATAATGAAAAAATCTCAAATTAAAAAAGTTATATTTGAAATTTACAAAAATTGTAATTGTACCTTGGTATACTTTTCAAATCGCATGCTGAATGTGATTCAAATGGTTTTCTGTTATCACTCAACAATAAACTGGAAGAACTATTTCCTGGTTTGTACCAAGGTGATGGTATTTTGACGGGGCTTTTTGATGATGGCCAAAACTGACTTCCGTTATTTGTGGATGTCGGTATATCAGATAAGGAAATACCTCGTCGTTCATGCAGACAAATTGGATCGACACTGGCCACTTTGACATCCCAGGGATCGACAATGGAGAGCAACACTTTCTGTATACCGATTGAAAAGAGACATAATTTATATATATAGTAACTAAAGTGACATAAAGTGTAGAAGTGTAGACATATTAAGGCTCATTACAATCATTCAAGACCCTACAGTCTACACAAGCCAGCATATTTTCCAACAACAAAATATCTGGTCAACTTAATATAGACATATAGAAAACCAACAATAATAGTTTTATTATATTTTTTATACTACTTTATTTAAGTTTCATTTTTTCATGTCATTTTCATTTTTCATGGTCTATTTTTCTTCTTTACTGTTTTGAGCTTCCAAATAAACGCAATATTTTTTAATTAATATATATTAAAAAGTAAAAATAAAGTAAATTAAACATTTACTCAGAAGTAAAATTAATTCCCTCTTCGCCCGTTTCAATATCAATAGCAAACACGTTAAGTAAACGTTACATAACAAATAGAGCACATTGTTGTCTTACTGAGACAATATTGTTATATATCCACTACATAATAAGATAGTAACGTTTTACATAATTTTTAAATAATTATTATATATAACTAATATATTTATTACATCACAGATAATTAATTTTTGTCTTGTTACATTATTCTTTAATTGTTACATAACTGTTATGAAACAGATAAATAATTTTGTTATAATTAATAAAGTAGGTCACATTATTATAACACACTTTGACAATATTATTATGTAACTATGTATATGTGGACGTCCGCATGAAAAGGGACCACTTTGTAGGTTCCAGAATCCAAGATAATCGTAATTTACTGACTTTAAAAAAATATATCGAATCTTTTTTATTCTTCTTTCTTAATTTTTATTAATTTTTATTAATTTTTTATTAATTTTTTTATTAATTTATTGACACTTTAAATATTTTATTTCGTTGCTAGACAACAAAATTAAAAGGGACCACTTTGTCGGTCTATTGCGAAAGTTGTTTCTGTTTGAAAATGGAGGGGGCGGAAAAATTCAAAATCTTTCATTTTTCATCATAAGCGTGTACTATACTTAAAAAAACTCTCATTTGAATGACTTCCCAGAAGAACCGCAGAAATTTATATTACAATTTTTAAATTCGTTTTTTTATAATTAAAAAATTTCGATATTTCCTAAGATTATTCATAATAAAGTCCCTTAAAAAAATTTTTATGTCTACTTTCTCTTTTTTTGCTTCAAACAACTTAATAAAATAACATCCAATCATTAACTTCGCAAATAACACAGGCCTGCAAACTTAAACTTTTTTCCGGCATAATGGATGCGACTATGTGTTTCCGAAGTGAAATTTTGCGCTGAACACGAATTCTGGATCTGGAATGCTCCATCACGTCAAGTTTTTGAGAAAAATGGGGTTGAAACCCCCTAAAAACAGCGTTTTTGGCACTATTTAAAAAATTGTGGGGCAAACTCCTGACGTAATAAACACTTCGCTATTATCAGAAATTAAAGCTTAATTCATGCCCTTTCAAATGAGCCCTTAGCCGACTAATAAGTTTCAACCCTTAAACCAGGGGGTGTGTTTTTTTTCCAGGGGTGCAACAACTTTACAATACAAAATATTGGAATTCTAGAGGATAAAAAAAATTATACACTACCGGTCAAAATTGAGAGACCACCCATTTTCAGGCGAATGAAAAACGTTTTAAAACATAAAATTTAGTAAAACTTAAATTTTTTTCTGTTCATTTTTTGTAAGTTGATAAAATTTTGAAAAAAACAAGATATTTTAGAAGTCGGTTGGTCAATAATTTATTTAGATATTTTAAGAAAATCGTTATTTTCAATGTTTTACAAAAATTTAAATAACTTCTAAAGTAATGAACGCTTTTTAATGAAATTTGAATAACTTCTAAAATAATGAACGCTTTTTAATGATCAGTATTCGAATATTGACCAATTTACCACATTCAAAAAATTCAAATGACGATATCTCAGTGCAAAATAAAGATTTTTTCAAGTTTCAAAAGGCTTTTTAAAGGGGAAGAATAGTACTTTCAGAGGCCGCAAATAAATTTTAGAAAAAAAAATTTCTCTTGATTGAACAGGACTTCAAAAATGCCCAAAAAAAGTGTTTTTGGCACTTTTAGGTTAGAATATCTCAAAAACTTGACGTGATGGGTCAATTCTGAGGTCAGATTCGGATTCAGCACGTCAAAAACCTTCGGAAAAGTATTATCCGCTTCTTGGTTCTGAAATTCGCCAAAATTTTGTCGGCCTGTGAAATCAATGAAATATTGAGGTAAAAATGACCTTCAAATGATAGAATGACACTTGGGAATGAGGAAAGGAACCATGAAATTAAAATAAAATCCCATATTATGCATTTTCATATAACTTTAGATAATTTATTCCTCATGAACAAAATCCAAAATTTTAAAATTTTAAAAATGAAAAAAAGATTATCAAAAATATGTTTTTTCTCTCTTTCCAATGGAAATGAAGTTTTTAACACCTCTTTAAGTGAAAAAATGAATTTCTGTTGCAAGTACGCTTTGTAATTGCAAAATTTCCCTCATGGTCCAACTCTGACTCACGCGTCGTTTTGCGTCATAGGGGCACAGAACACAAACGCGTGACACAAACACCTAATTACTTTACAGATTTTCACATATCCCACATAGCACAATAATTTTCTGCATATTTGCGGCAAAATTTCAAAGCCAAATCTGAAAACTTGCCTGGCAAATTTGCAGCAAACTTGCGGTAGATACCAAAATGTCCGTTTGGTGGCAAGTTTGCAGAGCAAATTTGCAGAAAACTTGCGTGGCAAACTTGCAGATAATTTTGTAGTAAACTTGAGGAAAATTTGCAGCAAACTTTCAAAAAACCTAAAAATTTCAAAAAAAATCTTTTTGTATTCAAAATGTAAGTATTTTGATAAACGTTGCCTTCCCTAACAGGGAAGGTGACATAAATGTAGTGCGCAGCTCTAGATGTCATAGAAAACTACTGCGCATGCATTTAACATTTACTTTGCCATGCAAATTTTCTGCAAATTTGCTCTGCAAACTTGCCACCAAACGGACATTTTGGTATTTAACGCAAGTTTGCTGCAAATTTACCAGGCAAGTTTTCGAATTTGGCTTTGAAAACTTGCCGCAAATTTGCAAGTAGTATAGCTAGGGGGCTTCTGCGGCAGGTTTTGATCTCGGCTAAGTACCTACTACCGGTAACTGCTCAGTCGGTAATGCAGATTTCTACTTTATCAGCAGTCGGTAATGTAGGGATCTGACAGAAATATTGACTCGACCGATAAGGTAGATATATGTTTTACCGACCGAATTAGTTCAAGGATAAACCAGTAGATGGCGCCACCAGCAAATTCAAATCCACTTGACGGGAAATTTAAATTTTCATAGTTTTAAGTAGGTTAAAAGGGGTGCTCTGTTTTACCGACAGGGTTCAAAGATAAACCAGTAGATGGCGCCACCAGCGAATTCAAACCCCTATGGCGGGAAATTTAAATTTTTATAGTTTTAAGTGGGTTAAAAGGGTGCTCTGTTTTACCGACTGAGTTCAAAGTCAACCTAATAGATGGCGCCACTTCAATTTTTAAATTTCGCGGGCGTTGCTGTCCACCATTTTGCTTTACCGACAGGGTTCAAGGATAAACCAATAGATGGCGCCACTTTAATTTTTAAATTTCGCGGGCGTTGCTATCCACCATTTTGTTTTACCGACAGGGTTTAAGGTCAACCTAATAGATGGCGCCACGAAAATTAGTGAAAAGATTTATAATTGTTATATGTAAAATATATAAGACTTTTTGAATTTCGCGGGCATTACTCTCCAACTATTTTTTTTCTACATAGTTCAAGGTCAACCTAATAGATAGGTCCACTAAAATTTAATTTTTTAATCGTTGCAATCCACTATTTTGATTTTTGAATTTTCCTGGCATTGCCTATAATTAGAATAAGTTTAGAGTTTTACAAATAAAGCTGATGTAGTATTTACTAATGTAATTAAAGCCTATAAAAAGTAAGAGGCAGGCAGGATCAGCATTATTTGTTCCAGAGGAGCAGTGATAGCAGTTGCAATGGAGCAAGACTGCGATTGTTTGCACTGTCTCATGGTGAATTTTAATAGAATTCTTGTAAGTATTAATGGGTAATTATAGATTAGTATTATTTATTAATTATAAGTAATTAATAATATTTGTAGGATTGTTATGAAATTCCAATTACACCTCCGTCGTATCCGGAACCGGATGGGCAGGTCAACTTTTACAGACCTGCGCCCCAGGAAGTTCCGGAAGAAGGTGCTCCTCCACAGGATCAATGGCAACGAGCAGAAACGCCACCGATGGAGGAGAGGCCGGCGATACCGATGCAGGATTCCCCCAACTCCTGGGTTGACAACTTATACAAGTCTAGACATGTATAAAACTTGAATGGACGTGTCTCCGTTAAATTCTATTGAGTTGGAGTATATTTTATTGCGCATGCGCAAAGATAGTAGTGGGGGTAAATGGTCTCCTGCGCATGCGCAAAAATAATAGTGGGGGGTAAATGGTCTCCTGCGCATGCGCAAAGATAGTAGTGGGGGTAAATAGTCTACTGCGCATGCGCAAAGGTAGTAGACGGGATTTTTTTGGTATTAGAGTGGGGATTTCAGACTATAAATGAGAGTTTCGAGAGCTAATTTCTCATTGTAATCTGTGAGCTCACGCAGTGTAGACAAAGCTAAGCTAACACCGATTACAGTATTCCAACTTTTACTTGTCATTATTTTTTTGAGTTCTCTTAGATTAGAATTTATTTTGTAAGCGTTTTTATTGTATTGTTCTTTTTCTACGTTCACTTAGATTAAGATTTAGTTTGTAAGCGTTTTATTGTTCTTTTTTGTGTTCTCTTAGATTGTAATTTAGCTTTTAAGTGTATTAGTTTTGTAAGTGCGTTTTGAGTTTTTTTAGTATTGTTTTGTCTTATTATTTTTTTGTTATTAATACTTTTTTTGTGTTATTGATTTTGTTGTTATTAAGAATGCCTGGCAAACGAAA